GGGGCAGGGCCAGTGATGGCGCATCTTTGCGTTTGGGGCAGGGCCCGTGAGGGCGCATCTTCGGGTTTGGGGCAGGGCCCGTGAGGGCGCATCTTCGGGTTTGGGGCAGGGCCCGTGAGGGCGCATCTTCGCGTTTGGGGAAGGGCCCGTGAGGGCGCATCATTACCTCCACCCCTACCCCCCAATGATGGTGAAAGTTTGCCCTGCATTTTCCCATTTGTTTAATAGCTATTTGCATTTTTTTAATAAATTGTATGTTTTTTGTTCTTATTTTTCTAATGGTTTTCCTTTTTAAAATTTTTTTTAAATTTCAGGCTAATTTGAAGGTACAAAGAATTAGGTTACAGTGTTTGCATTTGTTAGCTGAAGTCCCTGTTGTGGTTGTGTCCCACCCCCAGGTGTACCAACTGACTAAAATACGGAATTGACTAGGGTGTAATAGTTTACTGTGGAGCAAGAGATGGACTTTTCACATTTTCTGCATATTGTTTTAAGAAAACCAAAGATTAGGTCACCAGAAGCCATATAGATAGTGGTGACTTGGGGCTTCTACCTCAACACCGGGCCTCCCAACTTTTTATTGTTTGGATTGAGAGCACAAAGAATTAGGTTATACTGATTGCATTTGTTAGGTAAAGTCCCTTATATAATTGTGTTCCACCCCCAAGAGGTGTGCCAGACACCGTGACCCCTCCTTCCCACTCCCTCTTCCCTCTTCCCCCTACCCCCACCCTTTATTAGAATCATCTACTGCCTTCATATGAAAATGGGCCTCCCAACTTTGGATGCAAGACCAAGTTGGAACTTATGAACAATGGGAATTTGCTCGGACCGCAAATAACTCACAAGAGTCACATCATCCTTTGCTCACATTTAATTTTTATTTTGATTTTTTTAATGCTGCACAACACAATATTTATTTCATTTGTTTCATTTATTTCTTTATTTCTGTTTGCTGCTGTTATTTTATTTTACTGAAAGTGAGAGGGAACTGTGTGGCCTTTTTTCTTTTTTTCTGTAGGCCGCCTTAAGCTTTCTAAATTTGGAACATCTAAGCAAGCTGAAGGGAAAGGGGGGTTTTTTCAGAATCACTCAGGGGAAAGGAAAGGTTGCTTTTGTTAATCATGCCCTATGGTGGGTGATTAACTGCTTGTACAATTACGTTTCACTTTTCATTAATTGTGCTTAAGGCTTTAATTAAATTTGGGGTTCCCTTCTTAGAGCAGCTCATACTGACGGAGATGCATGCGCTGGATGATGTCACGGCAGTCGTTGAACACACGGCGGATGTTCTCAGTGTCCACAGCGCAGGTGAAGTGAGGGTAGCAGTAGTGGCGCCCATCTCCACTGGCAGTGCTGATTCTCTGTGGGCATGAGACATAGTCATGGTCAGTGATGTCCGCTCTAGAAACCACCTAATCCCCAAGTAGGGACATCTACCAGGGTTGACTGTTGCCCAGCCAGTGGCATTATTAGTAAAACAAAAGCCCAATGACGGGGCACTCAGCTAAAATTCATAGTGGATATTGGTGAAATAAAGGAGAAGCACTGGATAGTTGAATCTCCAAACCAAGTTATGTTCCTATCTATAAGAAAGGGGGTGGGGAAAGAAAGAGGGAATTAAAGAACAGACTCTACTCACCAGAAACTCATCTCGGATGAAGTACTTGGCCCGGGTCACGCGTGGGTCCTCTCCGGGCTCAGGAGTAGCTATGAAAAGTAGGAATATTTGATTACTTAAGGTGATTAAAGGGTAGAGCAGACCTAGGGGAGTGGGGTTTTTAGCCCAGCCTTTTGAGAAATAAGTACCTCAATGGACAAAAACAGAACCCACACTTACCGTCCTCAGGAGTAGTGTAGCGAGCGAACTCTGGAAAGTAGTCCTCAATCTTCGATTTTCCAGCAAGGACTTTCTCTGCGAGCAGATCTTGCTTGTTGAGGAACAGGATCACAGAGATGGTGCGCAGCCATCTGACCAGAAGGGAGGCGGGTTTAATGAGCTTGCACGAGAACTTGCATGAGCCCAACCCAGGGCTTTGGGACCAGTGAAGGACTCACTCTCAGGCAGGCTGAGGTGGGCACATGGGAGGGGTGTTATCCACAAACCTGTTGTTCCAGATGCTCTTGAAGAGGTTCAGAGCCTCCTGCAGACGGTTGGTCTGGTTGTCCTCCCGGATGACCATGTTGTAGCTGCTGCTGGCCACCACGAAAATGATAGCAGTCACATCTGAGTCACAAGAAAGAAAACAGTGAGTGTTAGGAGCTAAAGGGATCCCTGATGATCACAAAAGCACAGCGCCCCCCTTCCCCAAGAGCAGGAGGTGCAGTGCGGCCTTACCATTGAAGCATTGGATCCACTTGCGGCGTTCATCGCGCTGGCCACCCACGTCAAACATGCTGGTGGGGACAAAGGACACCCAGTTATTCCAGAGGGCCCCTCGCTCTACTGTACAGGAAACACCAAGAAACCACTATCTCCATTTTACAAAGAAGTAAACTATCCACTTACTGGAAGTTGACTTTGTCCACCTGGAACTTGGTCTCAAAGATTCCAGAAGTCAGGACGCGGCAGCGAAGCAGGTCCTAAGACAAAATTCAGGTCAATGGGTCTCACCCAAAGCAACCAAAATAATAATTGCCAATCTAGACCAAAAATCTTCAGTAGCTTGCATTCTGTTTTGCATACCTGGTCACTTGGCACATAGTCAGCCTGCTTGATGACATCAATCTTGTCCAGGAAGCTTGGAGAAAAAGACACAGGGAAAGGTGTTGAGAGCACTCACATGTATTTGCCAACTATTTATGTCTCTACAAGGTCAGGCTAAATGGAAATGACCACCCAGAGTTACACAGCATTAAGTCAAGATCAGGAGGGTTACATTTATGACTTAAAGCTTAATGCCTTAAAAAGGTTAGGGCAAATGGAATTTAAAATAAATACTTTCAGGAACTAGGGAACTAGAAATGCATCTAGCAGCTATCCCATGAACCCACAGGGCTCCTGGACTACACAAACAGCACAGGACAGTGGTGGAGCTTTGTTCTTGAAGTTTTTCATGTTAAAAGGTTAGTTTTGTGCATCTCAACCAGTAGAGGACCCAAAAGCAGAACTATCAGCTTCTGTGCTGTTTGATGACTGACAAAATTCCAAATTTCTGACTAAAATGGCAAATTAGTATGAAAATTGTATACCTCCACATAATTTAGTTTTAAAAAAAGTATAGAGTGGCACACTTAAAAGCAAGGACTTTCTCCTTAAGGGCAAAGGGATTGTTTTAGTCACTCAGAGTCTGTATGTCTTCCTTTTTACTCTTTAAGAATCTCATTGATTAAAGAGAACAAAAGAGGTTGGCACGAAGAGGCCCTTCTTGCCCTAACTACCCTGAGCAGGAAACAAACACAGACTTCCCTTCCGTTCTATTTGGTCCGTGAAAGAGAACACTCCAGATATTAAACTTTTTGTTTAAAAAAGTATGCTGCTTGACTAGAACTACAGGAAAATTAACTTTTGAAAGAGATAATATAAAAATGGAAAATTAATGTTAAAATCAGTGTTTTTTTGGGGGGGGGGGTGTAGAGTTGGAATAATTTTAAAGTGGACTAATCAAAGAAGAAAATCACAAAGGGAGAAAAGTTTACTTAAAGAAATTCCCTAAGTTTTCCCCCTTCCTTTTTATCTTTTACCAGTCAGAGTTAGTCTGGCTTAGAGGATACACTAACTTGCCCAATCAATCTTACATTACAGCACCAGTCCAGAAATAGCTCCCCAGCCACCCTGGCCTCCAGCATGTTGCCATGGCAACAGAACCACAGTTCTATAAATAGATCATCAGCACCAAATCTTGTGAGAGAGACATCTGGAATGGGGCCAGCCAAACCCCAGCTCAACAAATAAAAATAGGCAGCTTAAGAAATGGGCACGGTACCAGTATCTCACTTTAACATAAAGGCAGTTCAACCAGAAACAAGCTGGTCACTGCAAATGCAGGGAAGACGTTTTAAAAGTTTTAAGCTACATTGTTCTCTTTTTTGTCTGAGTTGCCTTAAAACTTTTAATAATCTTTGCACACCGTCCTGTTTTTAGCTTTTAGTTTCAGGAGCCATTGAGTGTTGCTTAATAAAAAACAAACAAACAAAAAAAACAAATAATTTTTAAATAGCTTGATCCTTGCCTCCCAAAAGCTGGCTAAATAAACTACTGTTAATTAATAAATTTGTTTTTCCACCCCCAGCATTTAAAACTGGGATGGTTAAGCCCTCCTAATCTTGTACCTGTACTTAACTTCTGACTTGGATCCAAAATACAAAACGCAAACAATTCCAGGATTTCCATTTGTTTTGAGTTACTATAATTAGTGCTTCCAGCTTTCAGTTCGAACTTTTGAGAAAATCAGGGACTTTGTTGAAGAAGAATGGGGGCTTGGGGTCATGGGGATTGGCCAAGAGGGGCTGTTTTTTTGTTTCTTGGGAAAAAATACACAAGTTTGCTCATATATTAAACCATGAAAATATCTCTGTATGTGACAACTGAAAATAATCCAAGGAACTCCCTATGAGAAAGCAGCCCAAGGGGAAGAGGAATCGGCAGGTTCCACAGACCCTAACCTAAGCTTGTGTAGTCTGTGGACAACTGCCCGACAGAACTTACTTTTTGTTTGTTGTTAACCAGTCAGTCCCTCAGGCGTGGGGGCAATTCTAGCTCTTTTTTTTTTTTTTTTTTTTTTTTTGACAGAGCCTCAAGCTGTCCCCCTGGGTAGAGTGCTATGGCATTACAGCTCACAGCAACCTCCAACTCCTGGGCTCAAGCGAGTCTCCTGCCTCCGCCTCCCAAGTAGCTGGGACCACAGGCGCCCGCCACAACGCCCGGCTATTTTTTGGTTGCAGCCGTCATTGTTGTTTGGCAGGTCCGGGCTGGGGATTTGAACCCGCCACCTTAGGTGTACGTGGCTGGCGCCTTAGCCGGTTGAGCTATAGGCGCCGAGCCAATTCTAGCTCTTGGTTCTGATTAGCAAGTCCTTTGTTGTTCTGCATTTCAGTTACTTACGATACTGGCTAAATCAGCAACCCTCCACTGCCTACCCTTCCCCCAGTGACAGAGCTGCTCCCACTGCAGAGGGTCACTGAGATTGCTTTGTTGTGTTTGTGCAGTAGCAGCAAACAAAAGTACCTTTAAATTTTTTTATAACCCTGACCACCATATGCTGCTGTATCACATGCAGGAGGAGGGAAGCCATAAACCATCTAAAAGGCAACTTTCCAGATCTGCAGTGTTACATCCTCTGGAAGGGGGACCACGCGGGGTGATGAGGAAGGAAAGAGGATCCCCCAGGATAAAGTAAGGCAGGTATTAGGTGACAGGTGCAGAAGTAGCTCAGGTTATCAGGTGGAGGTGTGCAATAAATACTATTTTTGAAAATTTTTTCCTCTTCTTCTCTTTACCAACAAACACACTAATCAGTGTGCCTACCTTTATAAGAGACTGTGGAGAAAGATGTCTTGCCCTCTGATAATGCTAGCCTCAACCTGGGTCATCACTCTGGGGTAATCTGATTTATTTGAAAATAACCCCACCACTGTTCTGTGTTGCTCAGGTATATAGTTAGGGTTTAAAATCTGCTGACCACTTACCATCCTTGAATCAAGACCCGGTGTGAAGGAATAAGTAAGGATATGAAATAGAGTTCAAAAGTCAAGACAACACAAAACCCAACTCCATTCAGATCCACTAATCTACTAATACTGGACTATGGCGGCTACACTAGTCACTGACCTAATAGCAGACATAGCAAGGCAATTAATAGCTACCGAGGAGGGGGAGGCTTATTTTTTGTTTTCCTCATTTGTGTTTGTCACATTTTAAAATTATAGCAAAATTTAAAATTATAGCAATAAGATATCACACTTTAACCCCCAGTGTGGGAGCAGCCCTGTTTCCCTAAATGCTTGTGGGTCAGTTCAGTGAATCAAGCTAAGTGAGCACCACTTTAGTGAAGGTGATCATCCCCCTATAGGCCTTATGTGTTTACACACAAGTCACTGCACTGAAAATGTGTGAGTAGGGGCTTTATGAAACAAATGACTCAGACTAGAACTTTCTAGCTATGAGCAGGGTAACTGGGTGACGTCCACGAATGGGATCACTGGCAAGTAACTTTAAAAGTGCGAGTGGTGGGTTTTCGTGTTTTCTCCTGGCTTGTCTACTTTGTGTGCTGATGAGATACTTACTACTGGGCACAGTCGATCAGCTGGTACTCATTGGAGCGCTCATAGCAGGCCCGCACTCCTTCATCCTCCCACAGAGCCTTGGCGTGCTCGTAGAATTCCTGAGGGGAACACAAGAATAAATGTTGAGAGAGGTTGGAGCCCTAGCAAATCAAGGGCACTGTCATCCTAACTCTAAGATAGCAGTTTACTATGTCAACTACACTGGGTGTGAATCTGCATTTTGAGCCCATTGAATGAATTATTGCTTATCAAGAACTTTAACTGAACATGTTAAACTTATTCAAAAGTTGACACAATTAATTCCTGCTCGTCTCTCGTTGTGAATGATGGTCTTGGGTAGTTTCTTCCCTGTATTCGTTTGGAAGAGAAGACTAATTTTGTTTCTTCACAGAATTATTTATTATTGGAAGAATATACACTAATCTGCATCAGGAAAATATGCCAGTATATCATTCAGTATTGTGAAAACAAGAAACTTCATTTGTAAGATATACTGGGATCAAATTTTCCTTCTAGAAAAATGTGAATTTTACCAAAAAAAAGAAAAAAAAATTACGATGGGAAACCGTAGGTAGGAACATAAAGTTCAGATATTAGTAGGACTAATAAAATGTTCCTGTTCAGATGCAGTTTTAATAAAAGGCTTTTTCTTTTTCTATTAGAAATATAGAAATCATGGTCACTGCTCAGGTGGGTGGGGCTAAAGCCACATAGGCCGGGGGTGCAGCTTACGGGAGGGAAGTCAAAGTCGGGCTTGTTCATCACACTCAGGATGTAGTCCACTCTGAACTGGTTCTCAGGGTTGGCCAGCTCCACAGGGGGCACCAGGTTGCTCATGGCGGCTACAATGGTCTGAAAATGATTCAGCAAAGTGGTCAGGGGACAGCGCTGTCTCAGGGGGAGGCTAAAAGACAGGAAGGGCAAGGAGCTAGCACATACTTCAATGGCCTCCTTCAGGTTGTTTTTGATGTCCTGCACTTTGGTTGCCTTCTCACTGCAGTGGGATTGAAAAGAAAAAAAAAAATCATATTGCATTTTGTAGGCTAGGAGTGTTGCTTTAATCAAGATATTTCAACTAAAAAGCATAGTATTCTGTTTTTTGAGGAGTTGTGGGTTCAGATCTATGCAAAGATTGGAGGTACCTGAATAAAGGTTTCAGATCATAACCTCCTGAATGTGTCCTGAGGACACGCCCAATGGGGGGGCTATTGCCAGCCAACCGTACCAAAAGTTGCACAAGGTTCATTTGCTATTTCAGATGTGGGGCCTGTGGGCTTGTAGCCCCCACACTATGAACAAACAATTCCTAAGAGGCTTCTCCTGACCCTTGTCAGCATCCTGTTGGGGACAGGGAGGAAAAGTCCTGATTTGACTTGGAATTCACTCAGTTGCCAGATTAGCACACTGAGAACCAGTGAATGCAGGTGGTGGTGTTAATAATAGTTAATTACAGATCTCAGGGCTCTGCAGCCCTATTATTTGTTTGTTTGTTTATTTAAATAGCTGTGTGCATGCTGTTCTGGGCATTGCAGCCAGCAGCATCGAACAACATCCCTACTTTAGAATGTTAGTAGACATGGGTCCCTCAACATGAATAATAAGGAAGATTCCACCCCTAGAAGTCCTTATGATGGTGGGTGGGGCCCCTCTGTTAAGTACAGGTGAGGGGTCTTGTTTAACTAGGTATGTAGAATAGCCTGTGTGGTCTTCATAGAATGATCTATATTTAGAGTCACTGGTCCCAAAGGTAAAGGGTTGTTAGGGTGGTTAGTGTTAGTGTTCAGTGTTAAGCTGGTTAGGCCTAGGGTTATTAGGATTAGTGTTCAGTGTTAGGGTGGTTAGGGTCAGTGTTCAGTGTTAGCTTGGTTAGGGTTAGTGTTCAGTGTTAGGGTGGTTAAGCTACTTAGGGTAGTTAGGTTTAGGGTTGTTAGGATCAGTGTTCAGTGTTAGGGTGGTTAAGCTTAGGGTTATTAGGGTTAGCATTGGGGGTATTGTTAGGGTGGTCAGGGTTAGTGTTGTTAGGGGTAGTGTTGGGGTGGTCAGGGTTCGTGTTGAGGGTAGTGTTGGGGTGGTCAGGGTTCATGTTAGGGTGGTTAGTGTTGGGGGTAGAGTTAGGGTGGTCAGAGTTAGTGGTAGGGGTAGTGTTAGGGTGGTCAGGGTTAGTGTTGGGGGTAGTGTTAGGGTGGTTAGGGTTAGTGGTAGGGGTAGTGTTAGGGTGGTCAGAGTTAGTG